TACTTGCTTAGACGCGTCCAAAGAGTTTCTATGCATTAATTATACTGAACAAAAGAGCCTATCTCGTGTGCATCCTTGTTCCCTTGTTCCCTTCCAAAATTCTCCTATGTTCCCATGTTCCCACCCTGTTTCCTTATTTGTTCCCCGTTTAATAAATTTTCTTGCCTCTTATCGCCTCCCTCAATTCCCTCCCGCAAAAGAGAAAGACACCAAAAACAATAATATTTTCTCCTCTAATTTGTACAGTTTTGTTCCCCTGTTCCCTAAAAATAGGCTTATGTTCCCTTGCTCCCCAAAACCCCTGGGAGACCCTCGCTATTTTACAGGAATCATGTCATGTCTTGAATTGTTATCGGCCGAGGGTTATTCACACAACAAGTTTAAAGTTCTTGTCCTTAATGTCGACAAACCCGGCGTAAATAGGCTCAAGTTAGAGTCTCGCGGGTGGTTTCCTACAGCCGTGCTGCTCGCATTTAGCGTGCAAGCAAAGTCCCATAATTAAGAAAACTGGATACCTAATCAAATGTACTGAAAGTATTGAAATTAAGGATGAAGAACATCACTGGATGACAATACATTCGAACTATCGACGGTATTTCATAAGAAGCTGCGTTGCGGGCACAACGCAGGGCAAGTAAATGCGTGGTGAATAATTTTAAAAGCAACTGAAGCTCTGCGACAAGCCTGGCGCTAAAACTGTATACATACAGTTTTGCCTTGAATGTCTGGTTTTAAAAAGGAGATGGTCTACCGCGATCAGACACTTCCTTTCGTGAAAACATTTTATTCTAGTATTTTATTCTACAACTATTCTGTTGCTTCTTTACATTTAGAACCTATTTAGATGTTATTGCCTTGGAACAATCTTTCCCAGCATTTTCTACCATCTGTAAATACTCTACAATCTAAAAATATCTTAAGGAGTGAAAATATTCTACCATCTTCTATTCTCCTATCTACAAACACCCAACAATAATATTCTGTGCCCTCGCTTTTTTCAATTGCTTTAAAGAAAGCAAATTAATATATTGCTTTTACAATTGAAAAGAATTTACTGCACATAAAAATATATTGAAAACATTCCTAATGTCCAATAAACGACTAAAAAAATAGAACCTTCAGTCTTTAAAAGGTAATTTATGAGTGAAAGAGATATCACTTTATTAAGCTTTACTATTGTTTACATCTAATGGCTCTTATTTTTACTAGTGGTTTACTGGAACACACCTTAATTTGAATTCAAATGTTCAAGCAGTAACACTAACCCTAATGGTATATCAACATTTATTACACGACTCGGGCAGTCACAGGGCCAATAACTAAAATCAACCAATCAAAATGCTCTATTGCCGGTCCAATATTCTCTAAGTATTGGACCGGGCACTGTCCCCAATGGTCCCGAATGATACCGCACTTGTGTCCCTTTGAACTTCAGTCGTATATAATAAATCTCTTATTAACCAAGCTTGCTCGGGATCGTACTGGAAGAATATCGGCCCTCGGTCTTTTTTGTACGGACCTCGCTGCGCTCGGTCCGTACTGTCAAGACCTCGGGCCGATAGTCTCCCAGTACGGCCCTCGCGCTTGGCTAATAAGATATATTAGTTCATATTTGACAAGACGGATTCGTTAGGCCAAATTGACGAAGTTATGTGTGATCTTCTTTTAAGAGGTTTCATTTAGTTTGGGAACCTCGCCCAAAGTTATTAATCTAATTTACCCCTAGCCTAATCCGAGGGTTATAACTAAAGGTTACGATCGAGCTGTACATTTTACAGACATCAAAAGCAAAAGATATAATCACACAGATACAAGTAAAATATAAGAAAGGTTTAAGAAATTAATTTTGAATGAATGAGGAAGACAGTTTAAATGAATTAATTTCATTGCAAATTTACTTATCGCTTCTTTTAGCGAACTAGAACAAGAGGTGTGTCGCGAACCGAAGTAACACTTGGATGTTCCTGTGCGTCTGTTTCGTCTTTGATCACAGATGACGTCAAAATGCAGTGAGGATAAAACAGTGGCACACGAAGTCCAGCCGAGTGTAGCACTGACATTCTTACCAAATTTTGACGTCAACATACAATAGGGAAGCAAGATGGTGTTAATGGTGAAGTCAACTAGGCGTCTGATCTCTATGAGATTATACATAGAGAATGAGTATATAATTAAGCTTATCATATTAAACAGGATGGACAATCTGAGCTAAAAGTTTACAAAATCAGTTTAGGAAATATTGTATTTCCTCATAAACTTCTTCATTTTGTTTCTCGCCACTTTCCCTCTGAAGCCCCATATTGTAATATCCGGGACTCTCGGGTTTTTCCTGTAACGACTGATACTCAGAAGGAACATGAGACTCCTGGTTCGAAGGCCTGGGTTTGAGTTCCATATATGTGTTTGGGTCTGAAGCTTGTTCGTTACTTGACAGTTGATCAGGTGAAGATTTGACGCCATCAAAGTCAATTTCTTCTTTACTCTGTATTCTTTTATTAGGAACAGCTCGTCTTCGCTGCCATATCAGCCCACAAATTGTAATGAGCAACACGAACACAATAAAACACAATGCGATGACACCGGCAAGTAAGATGCTTTGTGTGTCTGGTAAAAGAAAACAAACAACTTTCGAACCAGCAATCAAATATTGCTTAGTTACTTCCTTTCAGTGCATTGGTGTTTCTCTTTTTTCAGTCGAATTACATTAAGAAATATGACGTTTCTTTTAACCCCGAAGCACGAATACAATTTCAAACTTTCTGCTGTCTCGTCTCGTGGTAGAACTTCATTGAATGCTAGAAAGTTCGAATTCCTATGAACTCGAAATTTTGTTGTCAAGTCACATATATGACCTCCAGAAATCTCGAACCGGGAGGAAAACCAATAGGAGAAACAAAGACATTATTTAGCCTTGAGTCCTCTCAACAATGCACTTGTAGCTGTGTTTTAATCTATTTACAACCTAACAGCTATTCTTATGTAAGGCATGATCGACCTGCACACTAACAAATTTTCTAACTAGAGAAGGAAAATGCAACTTCACACTGAAAAACGTCGGTGTATGAGACCAGTACATAAGGTTGCTTTTGCTACTGACAAGATTAAACCTGTGTAAACAGTTGTATAAAGAAGCCTAAAAACTTCATACCGAGCTTAAAAGTTCTGGGCTTTCCAAAATATTTTAGAAGAAACCTTTAAGCGTTCGAATTTTAAAGAAGAATATTTACCGTCATCGAGATCTTGATTATCTGTAGGAGCAACCAGAGTGATTTTGTAAATTGTTGACCCAAAGGTGTTTGTAGCGTGGCACAAATAATCCCCATAATCTTGTGCATCCCGTGGTGTGACAATGAGACTGTTATTCAATAACTTCACGTTATCACCAGTTGGAACCTGACCATCCTTCGTCCAAGAGGAGTTAAACGGAATATAACTTGTTGCTTGACATGAGAGAAAACACGGAGTTTGCTTTTCACATATCACTGAAGAAGGAGAAAGCTCTTCGATAATTCTGGGTGGCACTGTGTGCAAAAAACGAAAAACGTAATGAGACCAAAAGAAATTTTTACAAAATCGTATGCTCATACCAACGGAGAAGGGCATACTACCATGTAATTTTAGTTTGCGCGTTTAGTGGTGGTTTGCTTTGTTGTTACTGATGTTTTTAATTTCAACCTTCAAATTCAACAAGTAGTCCACGACCTGTCAAAAGTGGCTAGAGTATGGTTGAGGCTTGTTTCCATGGTGATCAGCGTGGCGCTTAGTAAAAATATAGTTGGTCATTAACTTTGGTTGAGATTGGCAAATTCTCTAACGTATTGTTAAAAATTATACACCTACTCTTCCACATAATCCTCACAGAAGAAATGATCATCCAATTGCTACACAATGTTCAGTGTAATTGCAAATGAGTTTGAACGTACCCGCGACAATAACTATCGTAGCTGTACGGCTCTCTCCAAACATGTTCACTGCTTTACATTCATAAACGCCACTGTCACCAGGAACAACATCTGGTATGAAAAGTACTTTGGCGTTGTTCTCCAACTGAGCGCGAGCTAGACTAGTAAGTCCGTCTTTGGTCCAGGTAACAGAGGCCTCAGGGTCTCCACTAACCTCACAAGTCAACACCACCAGTTCACCAATTGCTATAATGGTTCTTTTAGGCAGATCTTTTATGATAGGTTTCCCTGATTATTGATAAACATGGATTAGACATGCCTTAACAAAGCTAAGGACACAAAGCAGCATGAAGGCTTTGCAGCCTCTCCCTTTTAACTTAACAATAGCATGAAAGCCCCTCGGTTGATAGCCAACCTCAGGTTGATTACAAAAACAGATGACCGAAAAAAATACTATGTGAATTCCAAATGCTCTGTCATTCCAACAGCCTTTCCTTTTCTGGTCTTAATTCAGTTGTTCGTACAGACCAAATTATCTACTTACATTTTTTACTTTGCTCAACGGCAAGACACCGAATTTCGCTTTGAGAAACACTTTCGCTTTACGTTATCAAGGAGAAGAGTATAATGCTCTCAAACAAATATGGATTACTTTCAGTTCAACTTTCGCAGTTTTTCGAACTGTTCCTCGTGGTAAATAACACTTAAAAGAGAAATGTAACTGTTTGTCGCACGATTTGGTCACTTGGGAGGTGGATTGCAGCGTTTCGACTGCATACTGCTTGTCTTCTTCAGCCGGGTTGTTAATTAAGGTCTACTTACTTATTTACTAGCAAAGAATGGTAGCGGTGGTGACAACAAGAGCTGCAGTAGTAGTAGTGGTAGTAGTTGTAAAAGTAGCTCTTACTCTGGAGGAGAACATGTTAGGTTACATTATGTGTCAATGACACACTCAAAGAGCTCGTTAAACCCTTGCCTTGGCTCGAAACCAAAAACCTTTCTCCGTGTTTTCTAAATTTTCTGATAAGTTGTTACCATCTTTCAGCTCCACTCCCACCCTACTAATTACCTCATAAAGCTCCCTACAAGCTCACTTACCCAATGTCTGCACCATTACAGGTCTGCTGTAGGGTCCAGGCCCCACAGCAGTGTAGCCTCTAACAGACACTTCGTACTTAGCACATAAAGAGAGTCCAGTCACGAGAACATAGGTAATGGTCGTGTTAATGGTTGAATGAAAGGCAAACTGGATCTTCGTACAGTTTTCCACTACAGTGAGCCTAACTTCATATCTTATGACTTTACCATAGGCTACTTCTCTTGGCAGTTCAAGCCAAGTTATATTGATGTTTGTGGAGTTCAGTGCAGAAGAAGATATCTCTTCTGGTCCACGACTAGGCTCTATTTGACAAACACGAGAAACAGTTTTCATGATGTATTAATTACTCTTGGATGAAAAAAAACTCAACTAATGTGAAACAGAATGACGTGGTAGTAGTCTCAAAATGTTAGAAATAAGCTCAACCTGTAACAGACATTGAAAGGTTATTGTTCAAAAAAGATAGAATAAAAATACACGAAATAAAGAAAAAAAAGAAAAACGGGTTAGTATGCCGTAATGTACCTGTTATTAAAGTAGAATTGATCGGTAGTTCATGCTATGCAACATTTAAACATGTACCTTGTAGGAAGAAAGTTTTAACGGATTAAACTCACTTAAAGAGTTTTCTAGTAATGCAAGATACTTATTTTCATTGTGAGCATATCAAATCATACAAACAGAAAATAAATTAAAAATCTAATTATTTTCAAAGATGAAGGATCACCAAGATGAGGTCACTAGATGTCGTAATACATGTAAATGTGTCTGAGTGCACTGCAATTCACATAATGGCAAATTTAAGGAACACACCATATTCCTTGGTAGTTACAGTTATCGTCTGATTTGGACCACGTCTAATAGTCACAGCTCTGACATGAAACTGATAGGTTACTCCTCCTAACACATCAACTGTGTGACTGAGTGCATTTTTGTCTATTCCAGAAATATTTACTGGTGCACCTCCATCGTGACGGTAAAACAAATTGTAACTTCTGATGACTCCATTTGGCTCGGTAGGCTTACTCCAAGACAAGATTATTCTTGGACCATGCGAACTGCTGGGTGGCACACCTACATAAGACAAAGACGTAGGTGCACTGGGGGCTGGAAGAACAAAGATAATGTGGTTATTAATAGAAGAATGGTACAGAAAACCAATATTATTATATATGTTAATGATTACTAATCCCAAGCATGTTGCAGGGTGGCGTAAGTAGCGCCATATTAAGCAGTCACGCTGTATTAGCAGATCATTTGTTAAAGTCACAACATTTTCCCCATCAATACTGTAAGTTTCACTTCTATTGTTTGGTTACCTCTGTTAAGCGGTCGTGGACACCCTTGACTGAGTCCCAAAGGTCTCTGTATTAAACGTTCACATGAAGCGGAACCACCCCAATAAAAGTAAGAATAATCTCTCAAGTAAAACGTGTGTCATTTTTATCCCCTAACATCACTGATATCAATGTTAGCATTTTTAACTCAAATGTCCTCATATCATTGCATATTATCTTCCTTTTTTTGGACAAGGAAGACAAACATTACCCGCGAATATCATGCAAATCACCCTCTGATCAACCTGTGTTAAGCAGAAAAAATTTAAATAACAACTCATATATGTACATATATTGGCTTAGACGATACCACAAAGGTTGGGTCGTTTGGGGTGACCGTCTCGGTTCTCCCCCATCCTAGCATTAGCACTGCACTGATGAGGCCCAGAAGGCCGAAACAGTACTGTCTGCAGTTAGTTATATATATATATATATATATATATATATAGGAAGTCTGCAAGTCGATTTTCGCGTGGAACAGTGCTCAATACGTTGAAGCAGAGCAGAATAAATATTATGAGAGGAAAAAAGGACGTAACTACATTTCCCGACAAGCCTGTTTCGTGAATCGCTTCACTCTTCAGGGGTTTAATGAAAGAATATTCATGTGACTATCGTTTATATACTAGGAAAATTTGCATAATGCGCGGTAAACTTAAAAACTTTAAAGTTCAGTTGTTGCGTTCATTTGAACCTTTAATAGATCCTTAGTTAAGTTTCATATGGGGTTATAGGCTTCCCCTACCCTGTCACCTTGAAAATTAAGTTTCCCGGTAGACCACATCTCCGATCACGTAAATCACATCTTCGATTGCCGTGTTGCCAGCATGGTTGTCCTGATAATGTAGTGGTAATCACACCTGACTAGTAACAGGGGTACGTGGGTTCAAATCCCGCTCAGGGCAAATTTTCTTTTGCAACATTTATTCTATTTAAGTATGATTATTTGGGGTGTACAGGGTCAGGGTTACCCTCGTATACAGAATATATATATAGTCGTTAGTAGAACTTTCAGGCCATCAAAGGTGCACCGCGCCAGGAGGATCAATAAAGATTCGCAATCCAAACCTCACAGCAAACACGAACGTAGAAAGTTAAAAAAAAAAAGCGAGGATGGACAACTTCTAACGTAAAAAGGATAAAAAATTAACTTTTGAAATAAAAAAGAGCTTTAAATAAGTTTGAAGTGCTAGTGATTACATAATTACAGGTGACGACTAATGAACTGGTGCTAATAAAAAGATGAAAAAAACCCAGCTACAAAGAAAACAATGTACAAAATACAAGAGATAAAACCTAAAAAGTAAGAGATAAAAAAAAAAACAACTAAATAGGCTAAAATAAGTGGTGCAATCGAAGAAGCAATGCGGCAAGCATTAGAAAATGTATTGATCAAGTACAGGCCCCAAGCTGCTGTGAAGAGATCGATAGGCTTTTAATCGCAAAAGAGGCTTATTAGAGTGCTCAGCTGTTCTCTTTGGCACCCCATGGTTTGAATGAAAGAAAGGAATTTCATTCTAAAATCAGAATATGCTATAAATAATTTTCCATCTTGTATTCAACGAATCAAAATACGGCGTCCAATTTGATTTACCATTGTTTTGGAGTTACTAGCCTTGTCTTGACGTGGAAACACAAAAGGATTATCACATGTGTGAGAGGCTAGTCAGTCCAGAACGATGGCAATTCAAATTGGACGCCATATTTTGATTCGGTGTATTAGACGTTACTAATTAATCTTTCAAAGGCCCTTTTCTTGGATTTTGTCAGCCTTTTAGGTGTTGATTAGACTTAGAGGCCCTTCCAGGAGATCTTATTATGATTAGTATCATTTAAGGACCTCTCTAGGGATTTTGTTGCTAATTTGCCCTTTCGGGCTCCAAAGGCCTTGTTTTGGGATTTTGGTACGGTTTACAGTTGTAGTTAAAAGTGGGTCTACCCTTTTCTAATGCTTGCCGCATTGCTTTTTCGATTGCGCCACTCATTTTAGGATACTCATTTATTTTTTTTAATCTCTTAGTTTTTAGGCTTTATCTTTTGTATTTTGTCCATTTTTTTCTTTGTAGCTTGGTTTTTTGTCATCTTTTTATTAGCACCAGTTCATTAGTCGTCACTTGTAGTTACATAATCACTAGCATTTCGATCTTATTTAAAGCTCTTTTTTATTTCAAAAGTTGTAAATAACTGAAGGTCTCTGACCGAAACGTTTTTATAAAATTTTTTATCTTTTTTTACGTCAGAAGTTGTCCATCCTCGCATTTTTTTTTTAACTTTCTATATATACGAAAGTCCTCTTTTTCTTTGCTTTTGCACTACGCTTTTCACCGCTGTTGCGGCTCTTCAGGGATAGCAAAGTGTGTTTATTGACTTATTACGTCACAGATCTAATTGTAATTACAATAATAATGGCTATTGTAATTCGAAGCACGCGCGAGTGCTTAGCTTAATTTCAAATCATTAAGAACGGGTTTACATTTCGAAATAACAAATCTGTCTTTGTTCTTTGTCATGACCTCGGAAGGGCCGAGAATCTTGTGAAACGGAAAGATAGGGAACTGAGGGGTCAATTCCACAGCACATTCATCAATATGTTTCTACACATACAAGCTGAACTTCACTGTACCGGAACCGCAACGACCGCAATACCAAACCAAAAGGCGAAGAAACATAATTTGGTTTAACCCACCACTTAACAGAAACGTCAAGATCAACCTTGGCAGAACGTTCATTAACCTTATTGACAAGTGCTTTCCAGTCACCCACAAACTGAGGAAAGTCTTCAATAGGAACACTATTAAACTGAGCTACTCGTGCACACCCAATATGAAACAGATCATAGACGGGCATAACAAAGCCACAATCAGGAACGCAAAAATGTCCGGAGAAAGCCGCCCACCAAACTTGTGCAACCGCAGAAACGAAAACGAATGCCCTTTATGAGGGAATGTTTGCAAAGCGAAGTTGTCTACCAAGCCACAGTCGCTACCAGGGAAGAAACTCACAGGCCTCACAGCGACAGATTTTAAGACTAGATGGCGCAACCACCGAATGTCGTTCAACCACGAGAGACGGCGAAATGACACAGAGCTGTGCAAGTACCTGTGGAAACTCAAGGAGAAGAGGGAAGACTATTCGATTTCATGGAAAATTATTGCTGGGGCTAGAGCATATTCCAATGCCACAAAACGTTGCAAATTATGCCTCAATGAGAATTTTTTTTATCTTGTCTTATCCACATGAACCCTCTTTAAACAAGCGAAGTGAAATAATATCCAGTTGTAGACATCGGCGAATATATATCCTTAAGTATTCTTAACGTTATTATCGGCGCGCGTACGGTTTTCATTGTTTCCAAGATTTAAATTTTTTAAGCAATGTCATGTGATCACGTTGCTGAGTTAGTTAACCGTCACGATGCCTCAGTGTGTATGGAGTTTTGATTGATGAGTGGATCAACTTTTGTTGGTCTAGGAAACAGGCTGTATTAAAATCCATATGTGCATAACTTGAGTAGTCCATTTGCTACTATATAGATATAACTAACTGCAGACAGTACTGTTTCGGCCTTCTGGGCCTCATCAGTGCAGTACTGATGCTAGGATGGAGGAGAACTGAGAGGGCCACCCCAAACGACCCAACATTTGTGGGGTCGTCTAAGCCATGCCAGAGTGCTCAAATTAGAGTAAACTAGTGAGCTGCGCAATTGCAACAGCAATTACTCATCCCAGGTAGAGTGCTCAATTTGGACATGAAAGCAAAGCTCTATATATGCCAAAGAGCTATATCTGACTGCAGACAGTGATATCTATATCTATATCTAACTGCATCAGTGCTGATGCTAGGATGGAGGAGAACTGAGAGGGTCACCCCAAACGACCCAACATTTGTGGTGTCGTCTAAGCCATGCCAGAGTGCTCAAACTAGAGTAAACTAGTGAGCATATATTAAATCAAACCAATTCAGAACTTCAGCAGTGATTCATCGTTTTATTGCTGCGAAAGTCCTGTTTCGTATGGTCTAAGGATGACCACACTCATCAGGCAACATCAACGAATGACCATTACATTTGGATGCTGGCACTTAAATTCAAAGACATGGTCGCTATGGTGCTTTCTATTTTGTTACGCGCGCTAAATAAAGGTTTTTAATTACATATCTATTCCTGTGGGGGCACGAGGATGCTAATTCATTACGTTTGTTAAGGGTGCAGAAATATTTCCTGCAGATTATTTCATATTTTTCATAAGACACAGTCTGCATTTTTTTTGACATTGTTGTAAGTTTTGCACTTTCTGATTACTTTCCACTTCGTGCTGAAAGGTATCTTGGCTTCTTTCAATTTCCATACGTGCTTTGATAGTTCAGTGGTGTTTCTTTTGTTGGCGTAACGGATGGATGCTTTGTGGTTCCTGTAACGCTCTTCGAAGTTTGTTGCAAGTCCGACGTAGTATTCTTGTTTTGTGTCGGTTGTTACGATTGCTTGGTAAACAACGTTCTTTTGAAGGCATTTTCCTTCAAGGGGGCATTCTTCATTAGTACGGCAGTTACATTCCTTGCTGGGTTGTTGCGTTGGGGTCGGGGTGTGAGCTGAAAGAAGTGTCTTGTTATGCGACGCGATGATGGATTTCATATTTGGCATACAAGAGTAGCTGAGTTTGAGCGTATGTCTATTGAAGATCTTGTGTAGTGGGTGCTCCTTCGGGAAACATTTTACATCAATGTTGAGGAACTTCCTTCCTAGGTTGGTTTTGACGTCGGAGTTCCATGGGG